TCTTTTTTTTAAGTTACCAGAGGATATGTGAGCTCACAGGGGTGGTAGTAGGGTGGGGGGAGAGAAAGCATTCCCTCAGTGGGACATGATCACACCACACACCACAGTCCCTTCTCCATTTCTCTATCCAGTTGTGATGCTAGGCAGGCATGCACCTGAGCCCAGCGTGTTTTTCAAACCACTGGGACCCGATTTTGAACTGCAATTGACCATGCACTATCAGCTTCCCTTAAACACCAGGTTATGAGACCAGCCTTATTTTTTCTTTTTAAATAAACATAAAACCCCTAAAGCACAAGCAATAATCCCAAAAATAGATAAGTGAGATTACATCAGATTAACAAACTCCTGTAGAGCCAGGCTATGAAAGAGAGACATTTTATGTCTCCACTTAACATACACCAACTGTCTGCACTCTATGGTAGAGACTGAAAGATTGGAGGACATAAAAGCATTAGATATTTGTGGAACACAGAAATGACCTATTATCTTTTTTTTTTAACTGTTGATGATAACATGTATAGTATTCTCAACTGGACTGGTCTAAGGTGGATTTCATGTTGAGTAAATTCTCTCCACAAGCTAAATGATGTATAGTGATTGAATGTATAAAATAAAATTAAAGCTCCTTCTGCACAGCAAAAGAAACAATAATTAGAGTGAATCGACAACCCTGGGAATGAGGAGTATATTTGCAAACTATACCTCAGATAAGGGACTGATAACCAGAATATACAGGGAACTCAAATAGGTTACCTGAAAAAAAAAATTAACCCAATAAAAAGATGGGCAAATGAGCTGAACTTTCTAAGGAAGACATATGAACAGCCAAAAAGTATATGAAAAAATAGCCAGCATCACTTATCATAAGGGGGGTGCAAATAAAAACCACTATGCGATATCCCCTAACCCCAGTCAGAATAGCTAAGATTAAAAAAATAATAATAAAACACCAGAGAGTATATATTTAAGGCTTTGTGGTCCATCTGATCTATAGCTGTAACTACACAACTTTACATTTGTTGTGCAAAAGCTGACAGATAATAAATAAGCATTGCTATCTTCCAATAAAACTTTATGGTCACTGAATTTTGAATTTCATGTCACAAATAGTCTTCTTTAGATTTTTTTCAACCATTTAACAACACAAAAACATTTTTTTCTTTGTGAGCCCTATCAAATAGGTGGTGGGGTAAATTTGGTCTATTGGCCATTTGTGCTTTCCTCCTGCCTAGTTGTGTTTCTGAATTTTCCTTATTTATATATTTACAAACTATATGCAGCTTCCTGAGTTGAATGTTAGAAGTAATACATTTCTGTTTAATTGTTATAGTAGCTTTCTATTTTTACTGTAACAGATTGAGCTGTTTAAAACTATGCAAATTTATTATCTCACAGTTTTGTAGCTCAGAAGTTTGTGTTGACTTGGCTTTTTTCTCTGCTGTAGCTTCGTAAGGCTGAAGTCAAGGTGTTGGCTGGTTGAGCTCTTAGGACAAGGCTCTGGGAACAATCCACTTCCAAGTTCATTTTCTGTGGACAGACTCCAGTTTCTTGTGGCTGTGTAACTGAAGTCCCTATTTCCTTGTTGGTTGTTAGCTGAAAGCCTCCCTTAGTTCCTGGAAACCTCTCTTGTCTGTGGATCCTTACGTCTCAGAGCCTTCTCAGCACAAGTCTTTTTTTAGCTTCCCAATCTGTTGAGTCTCTTCTGACTTCTTGTCCTCTCTTTTTAAAGGCTCACGTGATTACTTTGGGCCCACATGGATAATCCAGGATAATCTTGCTATTTTAAGATCAAATGATTAGTAACTTAATTCAGTCTGCAAAATCCAATACCATTAGTACCTAGATTCATGTTTGGTTGAATAGCCAAGGGAGAGTAATATTGAGGGTACATCTGTATCATTTAGAATACCATAATTATGACTGGATTTCTAATATAAATAGAGATATATGCTATAGCTCACTTGAGATATATCCAGAAATAGTTTATTTTGTTTTATTATTTTATTTCATGCTGGAAGCAAGCACATTCACTCACCAGAGAGAGACAGAGGGAAAGGAGAAAACTCCTTTCATGAGGAATAGTCACACCACAATTCCTACTACTCCATCTCTTCTTCCTGTTGGGATTTTGGACATACATACACATGTGCCCAGTGTGTTTTTCAATCTACTGGGTCCAGCCATATGGTTGGCCATGTGAGATACAACTGGCAGGCCACAGAGTCAGCCCAATTTATTTTATTTTTTAAAATTTTCTTTCTCTCAGGACCAGCAGTTGGCGTAATGTCTATGTCGCTGGACTGCCATGTAGTCGACCATGGTTCTAGTCCCCGACAGGGTGGCTTAAACTCACACCAGGTACATGTACGTGCATGCCCAAGATCCCAAGAGGAGAATGGAGGAGAAGGGATTGTGGCATGTCCATTCCCCTTGGGGGGCAATTTCTCACTTTCTGTCTCTCTATTTCTCTCTGTCTTTCTGGCGAGTGCATGCACTCTATAGCCAAAAAGAAAAAAAAAAGAAAAGAAAAACCTTTCTTCTATGTGCAAGAGAGAGGAGAATGAGAACCACATAAAGAGAGACAGCATCCTCAACAGAGTCTTGATGCTATGATCCACCCCTAGTTTCAGTCAGTCCAAGGATCATGGGCATGCATGGTCACAGCATACTTATGGAGGTCATCAGACACAAACCTGGAACTTTTCTATGTGGGTTAGCCTCACAGAGTGTCACATTTTACTACTGTATTACTGTCTGAACTCTATCTAGAACTAATTTAACCTCTTCAAACTTTTGGTTTTAGTAAGTTAGATCTACTTAGATTTGACTTATTCTATAAGCATATTTTGTAGAGTTATGGAGCTACTCTGATAGTCTGCTTCTCAACAGCCAATTAGGAGTAAATCTGAGGTGTATGTGCTATGGTGTCCACTTTCAGTGAATAGTTTTCTCCAAGGTTAACATTTTCACTTGTCCAGTATAGAACTGTGTTTCATCTGTAATATTCCTTTATCTTTTACATTCAGAAGCAGGATCTCAGGTTAATTACTGCTGGTAACAAAGTTGAACTCTTTTTTTCTGGAGTGATTTTTGTATTTGGGCCCCAATTGTTGATTTCCAAATCCAATCAGCTACTAAACCTCATGGATATAATACTCTGGGCAAGAAATCTCTATTTTACTCTTAGTTGCCTTTCTTCAGCCGCAATATCAGACTTGTCACCAGTTCTTGCTGATTCTCATCCTCAATGGCCCAAGTATGTATATCCCCCCCCCGCCCACATCCATGATACCCTGATTCACATCTCTGTCGTTTCCTATCTTGTCTGTTGAGGTAATTTCGTAGTTGGCCTACCTGATACTGGTTTCTTTCTTCTCCATATACTTCTCCAAAGACTATATATTAGGTCGTCAGGAAAGTCATGACATATTTTTCTGTGCAAAAATGCATCACAACTTTCAGAATGATCCAGTAGATTATATGATCCAATCTGAAGTTTAGAAAAACTGCCAGACTTCTCCATAATGACACTGTAGCCAGCTCCTTAGTGTGACATTCAAAGATTTCCATTACACGACCCTAATCCTACCTTTCAATCTCAGTTTCCACTGTGATCCTCTACAGATCCTTTACTGTAGTCACACAGACCTATTTTCCATTCTCAGAACACGTAGCATAGTTTTGCTGGGACAATAGTGCTCATCTAATCAGTGAAAACAATTTATTCATTTTAATTAGAGATATATTTAGCATCAGTTACTTGCACTGATGTTAAAATCCTTGTTATAAGCCTGAAAATGTATTTTATAGTAGCACAGCTGCTATAGGTTAAATTCTAGTTATCCTAATTCATTCCACAAATATTTACTGAGCACAGTGCCAATTATTGCTCCTAGAAATATTGAACAGCACAGCCAAGGCTACTAGCCTCATGTCACTAATATTAATGAGGGTCGTGAGGGTGCAAAAGAATGGTAATGTGTTAAAATGTTGGAATCAGAGTCGATCGATCATTCACTTAAAAATGTTAATTGAGAGCATAGTCTGTGAAAGACTTTCTTCTAGGAGCTAGGGAGAAAAATGAATTAGACAGAGTGGCCCTCAGAGAGCTTACAGCCTAATAGAAATGAGAGAGCCTGGGTAAAAATAACTCTAAAACAAAGTAGAAAATGCTGAAGGTCACAGAAATAGTACAGACAAAAGGATTACAGACATTTTAAGAGGGAAGAATGAAAGAGTATGATTTTCTGTAGCCATTGCAGGAGAAGCTTCAAAAATAAATATGACCATTTAAGTCTCCATCTTTTTTCTTTTAACACTCAATTGATCAAAAATCCAGACAGGCAGTTCTACCTGCATTTTGAATTTATTTCTTTTTTTTTTCCCCTCTTAATCTTACCATTGCCCTAGCCTAGGTCTTATCATCTCTCTCCTGGACTATTGCAATGACCAACCTGTCCTTTGTCCAACCTCTCCTTTGTCCTATTCTCTCTCCACTCTAACCTAGTGCCAGTGTTACATCAAAGGATATTTCTAAAATAGTCTGATCATGGCCCCTTGGTCATTCTAAACCTTCAATTGTTCCTCCATGGCTTACATTAAGGATTATTCAACCACTAGGGCAGTGGTTAACTTGAGCCCTGGACCAGAATGTTTGGAATGGGTTCCTGGTTCTACTACTTACCAGCTGTGTGATGTAAGCCACATCATTTTTTGCTCTAAGTCTCAGTTTCCTCCTCTAAAAAGTGGGGATAATAATGTTTACCCAAGGTTGCTATGTGGATCAAAATGTACAAACTATGAAGAACAATTAGCAAATACCTAGCAGATAGTATATATTCAGTTAGCAATGGCCATTTTTATCACCATAAAATATTTCAGAGATTGACATGGATTCTATAAATAACTGGCTATTTCTACTTAATTAGTAATTTTTGAGAGTTAATGATGTGGCTAAATAATCAAATTTCAATGTTACCTCTTTTTCTGTTGAGTAGGCAGCTAAGGGTTATAACTGGTGAATGGTTTTATGAAGAAAAGGCAAAGCGCTTCAAGCAAGTCAATGTTCTGGGCACTGATGTTGTCCGACAATCCATCTTAAGAAGAAGTCCAGGTAATTAAAGCAATTATTTGTTTTTAAAAATGTTTTTACATTCATTTTGGTGAGCTAAATACCTTAAGTTACGTAACAAATGAACACAGTTGAATTTTTGGAATCCCTTGGGTCATTTTATAATCTGGTAGCATGAGACTTAAATCTGTAATTTATGCAAGGGAATAGGAAGTCAGTAGAAAATAAGATTCATAGTGATTTTCCATATATATGACACATTGAGGTTTTTAAAGGAGCCCAAGCCCATTTATCCTCATTACATTTAGTTCTTTTCATGAATGCACTTCCAATATTTTTCTAAACATTTAAGGAAGTAACATAAACCAGATCAATTAAGTGATTCACGTTGTGAAAGCAACTCTTGATTTTTCAACAAGTTTTATTTCAGATTTTTTCAAGTAGTACTTTTTCTAATCCAGTGGTCCTAATCCAAGGATTGATAACTGTGCACCATGCCCTGCCACAAAACAACAGCATTTGTAAATGCAAGGGGACATTTCTGGTTGTCATAATGACAGGGAGATGGGAAATAAATGGCATTTAATGGACAAGAGTCAGAAAGGTTAAGTAGCCTAAAAGGCATAGAACAGTATCACTTGGGCCAGCCCTTGACCTAGTGGTTAAGGCTGTATCCTATATTGCCAACTGCGCAGTTCAGATGCTGGACGCCGCTGCTTGAAAATTATGCTGGGTGCATGTGTGTGTGTGTGTGTGTGTGTGTATCAAAAATATCAAAAGGAGGGAGAAGTGGAGGATGAGGGATTGTTGTGTGACCATGCTCCATGTATGGTGCTATCTAGATTTCTCTCTCTCTCTCTCTATCTCTCTGGCAAGTGCACATGCCCTCTGTCAAATTAAAACAAACAAAAACAACAAAACAGTATCATCAGTGAAGAGTTATCATACTGGCACCAAATGTAGATAATGCAGATAATCCCCCCCCCACCACCTTGAAAACTTTTCAGTGCATTCAAACTACAATTTAATTGGTTAAATATTAAGTGAAATGTGCATTTGAGAACATATTCGTCATGTGCAGTTTGATTAAGGTGGAGCAGGCATCTTTTGGCCTGTTCCTAGGGTATCTTATCCTTCATACACAGGAGACAAAGATCCTTAGTTTTAAGTCTGGTAGGACTGAGAGACTTAGAACTATTTCTGGTTCTACTTCTGGGCATGGCATAGTTAGGAAGGGCTTTTTCCAATGAGTAACATCAGGTCTGATTTCTCTGAGAGACAAAGAGTTAGAATTAAGCTGTCAGCTATGGCCTCTTCCTCTGCTCAAACCTCAGTACCTTCCAGCATATAGACTCTCAAGTCGTAAGGTATGTGTATAGGTGCCTACCCTCCTAGGAAGTCTGGTCATGTGCTCAGAAATTAGGGCATCATTTTATAACCTCATGATAGAACTCAGTCTCTAGGGATTTGGAGTTCTCATGAACCCAGGCTCCTCTGCCCTAAAAATATCAGTAGAGGGATGATGTATTCATTCCTCTAGTGTAGTCATTTCTAGAAAGCTTATCTCAGCAAACCTCCCACAGATGAGTTCAGATCTTAGTCCTCAGTTAACTTTAGAATACTCCACAAATTAGAAATAACTGTACTAGTGAGAAACTTTGGATGAGAACAGCATTGCCAAATATCATCAACTCCTGTATCTTGTGCTAATATAGGAAAGTAAATGCAGAATAGAAATTTACTCTTGTCTCTGGCCATTTTTTATGTAAATTTCTCCTCTGATTGTTTTCTAATGAGAAGCTGAAGACTTACAAAGCCAAGAGCAAAACCGCCAGGATGCCGAAAAGTCAGACACTTCACCTTCTTCTGGGCAGAAGGCCAGCCATGATGGGCCCAAGAGAAAGGGGTAAGACACAGCCTATCCAAGGGGTTTTCACTTTTATTTTAGATATCTCTGACATAAAGACTCCTTAGTTTTGTAAGTCTACTGTCACTTCAGTGACCCAGAGGAGGTTAGAGACTCAACCTAGGTAACACTTTCTTATCATTCTCCTTGGAAAATGCAGTTTTAGTTACCTTCATTCTTTGAAAAGTTCTTCCCCTCTGACCTAAGAAGGCAAGAGTTTTTCATACATTCTCATTTGACATAACTGGTCTTACACCAAATGATTCCCATTACTTCTTTTTTTTTTTAATAACTTTTATTTAACTTTATTTATTTATTTATTTTAGTTTGACCAGAGAGGAACAGAGTGAGAAAGAGAAAGGAAAAGTGAGAAAGCTAGCCATGAGGTCTGGGACTTGAACCATGGTCGGCGATGTGGGAGACCTGTGCCCTTAACCACCACGCCACTTGCCACCCTAGTTCCCATTGCTTCTAGAGCTCAGAAGGTTTCATGTCAGGACCAATCTTGAATGACAGTGCCTTTATTTCACAGTGTCAGCCTGAGTGCTAATTTATAATAGATCCAATCCACAGATATATTAATTGAGCTTAAGACATTATACCTCCTGTTTAAAATGAAGGCTTCCTTAAGGGAAAAAAAAATCACATTGGCCAAAAAGCGTATGTATGTGTCAAGTGCTGAGAATAGCAATGAAAGGTACATAGAGGGGAAAGACCCAAGAAGGCACTGGGAAACTGTGGGCAAGAAACTACTGTCAAAGGAATAAAGTAGCTCCAAAAATGCAGGCTATGAGGACCAAAACACAAACTGCTGTTTCACAGCCCTGCATTTTACAATCTTTATTTCTCAGGCAGCTATTGCGAACTTATGTGTTCGAGCCAGTGAGAGTTCTAATATATACCAAGTCACTTTATGATTCTTTCCAGGTAGTATTGCTTCATTCTCTCAACAGAAGCCAACCTGGGACCAGCACTTAGCATAATGGCTATGTCGCTGGACTCCCACGTAGTCGACCGTGGTTTGTGTCCCAGACCCAGTGGCTTAAAACTCACGCCGGGCACGTGTGTGTGTGTGCCCAAGATCCCGAGGGGAGAATGGAGGAGAAGGGATTGTGGCGTGGCCATCCCTCCTGGGGGTGATTTCTCGCTTTCTGTCTCTCTGTCTTTCTGGCAAGCGCACGCTCCCTATAGCAAAAAAATAAATAAATAAATAAATAAATTTAAAAAAATCCAGAAGCCACCTGAGAGGCTGACAATGTCTGATGAGCCTTTATTTGGCTCTATAAAAAGTCTGTCTTTTTGTTTTGTTTTGTTTTTTGAATCCTAAACCAGGTCTGGGACTGGGAATAAAATCCAAATATCATGTAAGTCAAACACTCCTGACTAACCATGTCCTCATTAATTAGCAGAGATGAATGGGAAAGATAGCCTGGAGTATTCTCAGTATCCTATTTATTGATTCTTCCTACTGAGTGGAACCTATTTATCACTCCTTAGGGCTTCTACAAGCCTCATGCCTGTGCATCACTCATCACATCACACTCTAATCAGTCACCTCCCTGCCACACATTCTTGATCATATAAGCTCCTTTAGTGCTGGACCAATGGCATCTTTGCTTTTGTGTTGTGGTATTTACCATGGTGCCTGGGTTATCATAAACAGTCAATGACTTGATTGAACAAGTGTTTCTAGTAGTTTTACTTTGCAGATCCTAGACTAGACATCATGGAACAGGTTACGGGATAGTGGACCTGGAACTGGGAAATCATAACTAACTTACTAGCATGATGATTTATACAAATTCTGAAGCGTTCAAATCATCCTAGCACTAGACTGAACCCTATCAGATCAAAACTAGGGTCTGATGGTTCTTGGTCTCCAATAAATATAAAGTCTAGCTGAGCAGAAAAAGAAGACACCTGAAAAATTAATAAGTATAAAATAATTTCGGGAAATGATAATATGGTCATATGAGCTGCCTGAAAGTCTTTCTAAATCAAGACAGAGTGTTAATTACCCACAGGAGTTGTCATAATGCAATACATGATTAAGTATTGAATGAGTGACTAGATAATAAATGCTGGAAGGGCACAGGAACCATCAAGAAAGACATCACATTGTAAGTGGAGCTATATGAGGAGCTTGAAAAAATGGATGAAGTTCAGGATATCAAAAGGGAGGAAGAGTGATTTTAGGCAGAGGAAACACCTTAAACAGAGGTACAGAAGTGAGAACATGAACAAGGTGGTTCTTAGAGCAACCTAGATAGACATATGAAGTGCTGTCCTCACCAAAAAATGTAATTTTCCAGTAGATCGAAGCTTCTGACATTTTGACAATGACACTCTTCTAAGGATCTTTGAAATAGAGACAACTTGGTAGATTCTATTAAGATCGTTCCAGTAACTCTGGGGTCCATTTTTTCTCCTTTAAAACTGTAGACTGTAAAGTAAACGAACTGGTAGTATCTCTCAATGAGAGCACACACACACAAAAGAATACAGCATTAGTTTTTTTTTTTTTATTAAAGTGCATTTGGAAACACACATGTCTTGGGCACTGAGTATTGAGGACCAGGATTTGAATCTTGATTCCTAAGAAGCTGTTACTGCTTAAGTTCCAGATAACTTAGTGAAATGGAAATGCAATCAGTTTACATCCAACATGAGACAAATTCATCGTTCAAACTTGATTGCCTCAGGGAGAAAGGTCATGGAAGACGTGAAGATAGTTTCTATCACATGAGCTTAATCACTGAGTCCACAGGAATTGGTTGTGTCCCTATATGTGCTGGGCATTGTTTGAAACTCAGGGGATCTGGCAGGGAAAAAGGGAGGCAGAGTTGCTGCTCTTATGGAGCTGCAGTCTGAGAAGTTGCTACCTCAATGTGTCACAGAGGATCGTGCTAGCTCCCCTTTCTGAGCAAGGTGTGTTCAAGCTCCCTATTGTCAGTATCCCTAAAAAGAGTCCCAGCCCAGGCAATACTTTTCCATTCTCAAGGAACAGTCGTGAATTTCCAAAGTAGATGATCTTGGGCTAGTCCTTAGCCTAGTGGTTAAGGGAACCAGACTCCACAGGGCCAATCACTGTTCGAATCCCAACCTGGCAATTTAAAAAACACACCTGGCATGTGTGTACACATGCCCCAAATTTCAAAAGGATAAAGAAATGGAGGAGAAGGGACTATGACATGACTACATCCCATGGGTTGGTGCCTTCTCTCTTTCTTCTCTTTGCCCTCTGTCTCTCTCTGAAGAGAGCATATGCCCTTTGGTAATTATAATAAAACAAAATAATAAAAAATAAAATAACAATAATACAAAAAAAAAAGTAGGTGAGCTTCTTCTTAACAGGAATAGAGCCCTTGCTTACCAGCAAGTGGTATAGTCTTAGGAGAATGTCATAACCTCTTCCATTAATTACTACCCTTGACACTGTACTACAGAGTCACAAGGAATTCCCTATGCCCTTTGGTAATTATAATAAAACAAAATAATAAAAAATAAAATAACAATAATACAAAAAAAAAAGTAGGTGAGCTTCTTCTTAACAGGAATAGAGCCCTTGCTTACCAGCAAGTGGTATAGTCTTAGGAGAATGTCATAACCTCTTCCATTAATTACTACCCTTGACACTGTACTACAGAGTCACAAGGAATTCCCAAGAACCTCTCAGTCCCTCAAGGCTGGTTTACTAAAGAAATATTTATTGTTACTAAAGATAGCATTCTTGAAATGATATTTTTAAATGCCTTCTTTCTTATCTTACTTTTAACTATGTATTTAATTTCAGATTTCTTCTTAGCAAATTCAGATCAGCAACCAGAGGAGAAATTATAACTCCAAAAATTGAAAGTGGGCGGAGCTATAGCTTGGACTTAGACAGTCAAAATTTTCGGAGTTTAAAGTCAGCCCCTGGTTCAGACAGGTAAGAGACATACAGATTGGACCATGGTCTCATCTGAAGACAGGATGATGTATTTCTACCCCTAAAGGACTTCTAGGTATCTGTGGAGTGTACCACTTTGAGAACTCTGAACACATAATATGAAAAATCTGGAGGATTTCTGTTTTTTAATTGAAATGGCAAACACCTTCCTTTTGGAATTACAGCTACTGGAATTGTCTGTGTCACCTGCAGATGATTCCAGTAACTTTGTGTTCAGAACTCAGGACTGCACTTCAAATGGAGATGGAGAAGGTAAGTAAACTCTTTTCATAGATTGTTTTTAATAGTTTCTTTCTGTTTAAGGTGAAACAGAAACAACTATGGGGCCAGCAGGTGGCATAGTGGTTGTGATGCTGGACTCCCACATAGTTGACCACGCACGGTTCAAGTCCTGGACCTACTGACTTGAAACTCACACGAGGTGTATGTGTGTGCATTCTCTAAAAACCCGAGAGGAGAATGGAGGAGAAGGGATTGTGGCATGGCCATCCCCTCTGGGGCATGATTTCTCGCTTTCTATCTCTCTGTCTCTCTCTGTCTCTCCAGTGAGCGTACATGCCCTATACCAAAAATCTCAAAAAGACAGAAAAAAGAAACTTTGAGTGTCACATACATTCTTTGCAGTGTCTAAAAAATTATGAATAATTTCATCATTTGAATTGCCTCAGATAATTTTCCATAAATTCTATCGCCTTCTAGTTCATGTCCTCTAATTGGTTATCAGTGGGGCTAAGTGAGAATTTCCTATGCACACAGCTATCACTTATCAAGAAAAGTAAAGAGAAATAAAAAGGATAGCCAAGAGCATAGTCATTTCATATCAGGCTTGATATACTTTACCTGTTGGGCATAAGTCAAGGCTTATTTTTATGATTAGTGTATTACGATGAGAAGACAGATCTTCCTTCATGTTTCACTTGTTTGCCCAAATGTTAAGTCCCTTTTGTTTTTCTTGGAGCTGCAGAATTCTGCTAAGCCAGAGAGTAAAACTGGCAGACTTTCTTTTTTCATAGGTTCTGCAAGCAGTGTTGCATTCCCTCCTATAATCCATTTTAGAAAATGGACCAGAAAATTTCCTTAGAGGGTGCACTCTTGGTATATTTTTTTATGGTGACTGGTCATACCTGTTTCTTTTTTCCCTGTAGCATTCCTGTAAGTCAAGTGTCACTTGACATGAAACTGAACAGACAAAAAAATAATGTAAGGAAGCATAAATCATTTATCATCTGCTATCAAAAGATCATCATTGTAGGTAGTATTTTCTAATTTTCAAAAATACAGATAAATTCCTTTTATGATATTAAAAATTTAAGCTATGGTTGCCGTTGTCATTGAAAGAGTTTCATTTGGTTTCCTATGAGGTAGCCTTGTGCCATGTCCCATGAACACCCTAAACAAATTCCATTTTTTGTTTTTGATTTTTGGGACCCTGACTCTCAGACAGTAGTAATCAAAATTATTTAGTGACAATAAACGGTTAGTTTACTGTTGCTCTTTGCAGTCAGCCTCCTGGGGACTCTATGGATGAGCTATCTTGGCTTATACTTCAGGCTAACATTTAAACAAGGCAATATTTATAAAAAAGAGGAAAGGCAGAGTTCCTTGTTAAAAAGATAAACGGGTCCAACTGGTGGCATGGTGATTAAAGCAGCTGGATCCCAAATAGCTGACTGCATGATTCAAGTTCTTGACTGGGTGGTTGAAAAAACACTCTGGGCACATGTGTGTGCCTGCCCAAAATCCCAAAAGGAGAAATAAAGAAGGGTTTGCAGCATGGCCACCCCCATGGGAGATACTTTCTCCCTTTCTTTCTCTCTGCCTCTGTCTCTCTCTAGTGAGCTCATGTGCCTTCTGGCAAATTTTAAAATAAAATGACACACACACACATATGTATATATGCACATTTGAACTTATTTGTCTTACAGTTCTTCAACAAAGATAAGCATCGTGATCTCCAAGATCACGATGCTTATACCCTTATTCTAGAATCTATCTACCAGAGTATACTCCTTGTGTTTTATCTACTTCTAAGCATAAATAACCATAAAGGTACAAATTTATATGGGCATATTTTACTGAATATTGATCCAGAAGTTTCTTGTTCCTTTTGTAAACTGAGAGAAAGTCCCTAAGTTGATCTCATCTTTTAAATTGTAAATATCTGAAATGGTTTACAGAAAATCACAATATAGTCTTCAGGGTGCTTAGGCTTAAGCATGCCAAGAACAATGTTTTCCTACTAAGAGAGTAAAGACACTCAGGAGATCAGTAGAGTAAAATGTCCTCTTCCTGGAACGTGCATTTATCTCAATGATGACTCATTAATGGAATTCCATAGGAAGATGAGTTCTATTATTCCAAAATAATTCTTTCCAAAGTTGGGACAGAAGGAGGCCTACGTTTTCTTTCTTTCTTTCTTTCTTTTTTTCTTTTTTTTTATTTTTTACCAAATTTATTTATTTATTTTTTTCATTACAACTTGTTTTTATTTTACATTTTTCCACAAACATTTACTTTACATAGCAAAGAATTTTAGCTCATACTCCATAGTTCTTGACAGTTTACAAACAACTTTCAAAGTTTAAAAATACTGAATTTTAAAGATAATGTTCAAAATATGTCTTATAATTTTGTATAATTTTATAACTCTATAACCACAGAAGCAGTGTATATATATATACACATTTAGAGTGCAGACACTTGGTATATATTAAGTGGGGACATACAATGCCTCTCCTTCATAGCATGGCTTGCTTCACTCAGTAGTAAGTCTTCCATGTTCATCCACTTCTTTTCAAAAGCCGGGGTTTTGTTGTTTTTTATGAATGAATAGTATTCCATTGAGTATATGTGCCACAGATTTTCTAACCATTCATCAGTTCGTGGGCATTTAGGTTGTTTCCATGACTTAGCAATTGTGAAAAGTGCCGCAATAAACATCGATGTGCAAGCTCTTTTTCGATTAAGTATTCTTCTGTCCTTCAGGTAGATACAAAGGAGTGGGATTGCTGGATCATATGGTAGTTCTATTTGTAGATTTTGGAGGAATCTCCAAATTGTTCTCCACAGTGGTTGGACCAATTTACAATCCCACCAGCAGTGTAAGAGAGTTCCCTTTTCACCACACCCCCTCCAGCACTTATCATTTTTTGTTTTTTTAATCTTTGACATTCTGACTGGGGTTAGGTGATATCTCATCGTTGTTTTGATCTGCATTTCTCTTACAATGAGGGATGTTGAGCATTTTTTCATATGCCTTTTAGCTATTCGTATGTCATCTTTAGAGAGTGGTTTTTTCAACTCATTCTCCCATCTTTTAATAGGATTGATTGTCTTTTTCCGGAACAGCTGCTTGAGTTCCTTGTGAATTCTGGTTATCAGTCCCTTGTCTGATGCATAGTTTACAAAAATATTTTCCCATTCTGAGGGCGGCCTATGTTTTCTTAACTCTCATCATCTAAAGAGACAGTAATATCTCAGTATCTGTGGTCTATTTAACCTGACTCAGCTTAGCAAATCTTTCCCTTTCTCTTCCACAATGCATATTTCTCCATGGTTCATTGGTCTTTTCCTGGAGCATCTGAACTTGGGCATTCCTCCTTAAAACTCACATCATATTGGAGTGGAAATAATGTTCTCTCAGAGTGTAAATGATGTCCGGTTGAGTATTTCTTTTTAGAACTTTCAAACCAGGGAAAAGTAAAAATGGATTAGGGAAGGCCCAGCAGCCTCTCAGAAAATCATGTCAAATGGCTCTTCACTGGTTACTATGAACTTAATACATGAGATAAAAGGTATTTTTAAAAAAAAATAATATAAATGTAAGCTGTAGCTAATAAATACAATGCTGTTTGAGGCATTGATTTCTAATCCCTAAGATGTTGATGAGTTATAGCTGTGGTATGATTCATGCGATATGTAGCTTTAAGCCATGCTCTCCCAGAAGTAGGTCCTCTGACATGGACAAATAAGCAAGTAACTTATTAATCAAGTGATTCTCAGAGAAACCGATAAAGGCATTGGAGAGGCAGAACAGAGAAGGAGCAGAAGCTAAGCAATAGTAGTACTGTCTCAGGTAGGCTCTGAGGACTTGGCCTGATCCTGCAGGGGACATTGGAACATAAATTGTATCCTGAGCTTTTTCCATTTTGAGGAGCTGGAGCATTGTATTCCTATTAGTCACTATTTTGGATTCTCTCATATAAGCTTTCCATATTTAGCAAATAAAGACATGAGATGCTCAGGTAAATTAGAATTTGAGATGAACAACTTTTTTTTTTTTTAGTTTAACTATATCCCATGCAATATTTGGGACATCCTTATATGTAAAAAGTATTGACTATTTATTTGCTATTCAAACTTAACTGGGAGTTCTCTATTTTATCTGACAATTTTATTGTATTGAGGTAAGGGGAGAAACTCCCAGGTATTTCTAGACCTCTAGCTCCAGTGCTGGAGAAAAAAATCTCTGGGGCCAGCGGGTGGCATGGAAGTTAAGATGGCTGGATCTCACATAGCTGACTGCATGTGAGTCCTGGACCCAGGACTTGCAAATCACACTGGGCACAAGTGCATGTGTGCCCAGAAATCCCAAGAGGAGAATGTAGGAGAAGGGATTGATGCATGTCCTTTCTTTGGGGGGGTAAGTGATTTCTTATTTTCCCTGTCTCTCTGTCTCTCTCTGGCAAGTGCGCACACCCTATAGCAAAAACTAAAACAAAACAAAACATGTCTGAAGGTAGCAGATGCAAACCAATAGCTAACAAGCACTGAGAAGGTAGGGAGGGGTATGCAGAGCTGCTAAAAGGAATCTGAGGGGGGCTGAGTGGGATACCATCAATGTCCCCTTAAAAAAACACAAACACACAAAGAAAAATTTGCTCTGGTAAAATATACTCTTTTCAGTAAAAATAAAGAATATAATACTGTGTTTCTTGGCAGTATTTTTATGATGTCATTGGAAAAAATGGCAAGAATTT